CCCCCCAAGCCCCGGTTGTTTTCTATGACCGGATAACACTATGACGTAAAAATGGCTATTCAGCGGATAAGTGTGAACAAAACGTACTGTGGTATCCGCCCCGGATAGCGATTTATACAGGTGGACATTGTTATCCGCCCTTCAATCAACAGGGGCCAACAGGTTTAAAAAATTTGATTGCCATTGTGGCTGGAACGCCGGGCCCGGCCCTCTCTTCTTTTCATCGGTTTCCCTTTTCAGCAACTCGGCCGGTTAAAAACTGCTCTCTAGTCTCAAAACACTCCTTTTTTACTTTGTATTATTTGTTGTTCTCTCTCTAGAAATGTTCTGTGGACATCTTTTCTTCAGGCTGTGTGTTTTACTACGTGTTGAGTGGAGGTCTCCATCCGTTTGGTGATCAGTATAGACGGCAAGCGAACATAATAGCTGGAGAGTTTAATTTAGAAAAGATTATTAATTGTGAAAGTAAGAAACTTTTACGATGATAGTGTTTGTTGAGATTATTTTGTTAATTGACCTCAAATTTTATTCTTCCAATTTGTAGCGAGAAGCAGAAGTTGTGCAATAAAGTAGTTGTTTTGAGGAATCTCTCGACACAATTACTGAAAATGGTTCAAGCTTGTATTCTCTTTGCTTTTGCCGTTTCATTCGCTAATTAATTTCTCAACAGTTTTTCCTTTAATTTCATTTTTAACATTGTTTCTCTGGTTATATCTTATACATGCGTGATATTTCCCTTCTCTTTCAGTGTTCACAGAAGCTAAAGATTTAATAAGAATGATGTTAAAACCTAGCCCTTCCGAGAGGTAAGGGCTTTTTGGTGATGGCACTGTTGTAACCAAGATGCGCTACTTTCTTTAACGAGCGGGAGGGATTAAGTGAATTCTGTGTTCTGATTGGCTACCAAGTGCGAAATATGGGTCCTTCATGTCCACACATACTTTCCCGCTGTGTTCGTGTAAGAGCGACACATTTTTTGTTATCTTTCGATCGTGTTAAGATTCTTGTGATGAATGACCAAGCTTGACGTCATTAGAGCTAGTACTTATCCCGTTACGTTATTTTTGCGTTCTTATGAACCTGGATATTACTGGTGATTGCTCAGCAACACGTAATAAGTTTACAGATATATATAACATTAAGTGACTAGAAGGAAACACACATGATTCGCTGCAACTCTGAGTTTCGTGCGTTAAGCACTCATCAGGCAGATTTTCTGATGAGTGATCATCTGCCTGATGAGTGATCATCTGCCTGATGAGTGCTTAAAGCACGAAACTCAGAGTTGCAGTGAATCATGTGTGTTTCCTTCTAGTCACTTAATGTTATAAACCACTCTACGCAAATATATATATATAGGGAGATTAAGCTTGGTGTCCGTGAAACAGTGCTCGATACAAATAGTAGAGCGGGTATAATGTGTGGTAGTTGGAAAAATGCGAATGCCGTAATGATTACAAAAGCTGACGTTTTACAAAAGCTTACTCCCACCGACGCAGCCCCAAACAGTTTCTTTCGAAACTATCAGCCTTTATTGAAATCTTCACTGATTCTTTCATTTCCTTTTCCAGTGCAATTTTCATTCCTGATCCAAAAGATGGTAGTTTATATGGCTTTGGTAGCGCTCATGATGGTCTCAAGGTATAGGATAGCTCTGTTACTGGTATTCATAGCCTATAGCTTTATATTTACCATTACAATTAAAAACTGGATCATTGGATAATGCAATTCAAGACTTTTTATTGGCTTAGCCATTATGGGATAATTATGAGCCAATATACCATAATCTAAGATGTACATTGTAACATCCAGTTTCTTCTTACAAAATAAAGTCGAGAAGATTTGTCTAATATCTTAGGGGCATTTTTTTTATTAAAGCGATCATTCCACTCGCGCTTATTGGATATTATATGATTTTAGCCAACTCAGTGCTACACACCTTGTTGGCTATCTATCATCTCATATCCAACACATGCTCGTAGAATAATTGTTAAATAGTTGATAATAATTATTATTATAAAAAATATTGAAGTCTAAACTAATTTGTAGAGAATAGTTTATTACAAACTCAAAATAAAAACATCTTGGGCAATGTTTGTTAATAATTACTGGTAAGCTATTTTTTAGGGAATTGAAATTCATTTTAAATCAGCAGATACCTAAGTATAAAAAACTACCAGTCAGATCTTAATTTCAAGGTTATTTTTATGACCTTTAAAAGTTACTGGTAATAAATTTGTCTTCCTTCTTACCATATATCAGAAACTGCCATTCACGATACCTGAGTTGGTGCGTGCATCTCCTTGTCGAAGCTCTGATGGAATTCTTTACACAGGTAAGTTAAAAGGTTGAAACAAATATATTCACTTTCCTATGATCGATGAGTTGAGTTAGTTCATCACACATTTTAATTAAAGTGTTCACCTTTTCTGTCTTTCTAAGTGTTATGAAACTGTCTGGAATTTTTTATTTTCCCACTCAATACCCTCTTCTTTTTCTATAGTAATTACAAACTTAGGAAAGTTATATTTAATTGCAGACTTAATTATTTTATGTTAGGTCGTAAAACAGATGTTTGGTATGCTATTGACCTGGACACTGGAATTAAACAACAAACTTTAAAGCTGGATGGAACAGAAACTGTCTGCCCCATTATGTCCAACAAGAAGGCTCCAGTATTTCTTGGCAGAACAGGTGGATACTTTGATCTATGTTTTATTTCTCCATGTTGCATCCATATTCTTTCATTAAAAACAAATGGGTCAGGCAATTTTATTAAATGATTTATTTCAAGATGTTTATTTTCCATTGTTACACTCATCACTAATACATTTATTAAAACTAGACTATTCTCTTGAAATGTAATAAATTTCAATAAAAATTGTGAAATAACTAGTTTTAGAGGACATCAATATTATCAGAATTAAGAAATATAAAAAATAAGTAAAGTTCTTTTCTTTGCCTTTTCATAGAATATATGATAACCATGTATGACAGCAAAACCAGAGAAAAAAGGTGAGTGTTGTTAACTTTGTGCTTGTTTATGTTGCAGGTAAAAATTAAATTCAGGTAAAAAAATTTTTAACCTAGGTTGAATTTCAATTTCTTTTGTCTCCAAGCCCTAATTATTAATAATTAGGGCTTGGAGACAAAGAGAATTGAAATTAGGTTAAAATTTTTTTACCTGAATATAATTTTTACCTGCAACATTTATCTTAGATTGTAAAATTAAAGAGATACCAAGAAACTGTTGATTTTAGGCATCTCTGTCTAATGTGCAGATTATGTTTTTTTTTTTTATTGCAGATGGAATGCTACATTTCATGATTATTCTTCACATCTTGCTCAAGATGTTGACTATGGTAATCAAGTGATCTTTTAGTTTAAATACTCAGTTCCAGCTCTTTAAGTTTTCAGCACAATTACAGATGTTCATGATGCAAGAATTTGAGAATTACAAGTTAGAATTTTCTTTTTACCCATTTTGAGTCTGATTGGATGATAAGAGTATAGTTCTTAATTGAAATGTGTTACCTTAGGCAACAATTCAAAGTATCAATTTCCATTCAAGCTTTATAGAAGCTGAAGTTCCCACAAGTTATTGTTCCTACATTATCAGTGTGACTATCATTACAATCAATGTTTATTTTTTAAACTATATCATTTGTGGATGTGACTTTTTTTGTCAGACCTTCATCATATGTGTTCAAGTTCTGATGGTTTTATGGTTACTATGGATGAATCAACAGGTAAGTACGTTGAAAGAATTTCTCCTCACAGTGGAAGTAATTATTAAATACTCTGCCTCACTTTCTCTGTCATGAATTTCTCATTAGTGAACAATTCTTGAAACTGATACATTTCGAACAAATTTCCCAGTGAGTACCTCAATTTTTAAGGAGGGAGATTATGTATATAGACTTGTATGGAGAATTTTTCTGTATGATGTACAAAATAAGCATTGTTTGGGCATGTGTAACAGACAGAGTCAGCATTGATAGTTGTGACTGAAGCCATGATGATAATAATATTAAACAGATTAGTTTGTAAGCAACTGTTAAGTATTTTTCTGTTTTATTTGTTTCAGGGGAAATTTTGTGGACCAAGAATTATGGCTCCCCTGTAGTGGGAATTTACAGAATGGACAATGAAGCCCTGCTTAAAGTTAAAGTTAATCACATAGCTAAAGAGACATTGAAACATCTCATTGGGGCAAACACTTCAAGCTCTTCACACCAAAACACTTTCCTTGGAGATCGTGGAGAAATTGTTTTGCAGTAAGAGAAGTTAACAAGAATTCTGAGCACCAAGCTGTTGATTTATTTCATCCTTTGACCCTTAAGAGTGATTAGAATTTTATTTCTCCTTACATTATCATCACTGAATCACTCTGTAAGGTTACGAGAATAAAGAAGAATGATCACCAAGTGAAGAAGGTCTTGACTGTTAAGCAAATTCTCCTTGTCAACACCCAAGGAAATGTATAGAGAACAGTTTGAACAATGTGCATAACATTCAGGGTTAACATTCAACAGGCTTTGCTCTTAATCATTTCCTAGATACTTCAAATGCCCCTGGAAACCCTTTGTACTGTATGCACTTGGTACTGAAGTGTATCATCTTCTTCTTTTGTAGGCCAACATTGTACATTGGGGAACATGCTGGAGGATTGTATGCTCTTCCATCACTGATAGAAGAAGGATCGCCATTGGTTGAGGTACTGGCTGCAATAACAGCAAGAATTCTTACTGTAAATATTCAAATGATTGATACAGCAAGAAAACATCTCTTATTCTTTTTTCCAGGCCAAAGTTTTACTAATTGAAGGCCCAAGATCAGGCCTTCCTAAAACAGGTAATCCAACCAAGTCCAGTGATGCAGTATCTGCCAGAGAGCATTCTGCAAACACTTCCCCTCCAGTGCGGCGGCCTATACAGCAGCCCAAAGTGTTAGAACCCAAAGCTGCATTGCTTCTGGGACATCATCAAGTTCCTCTTGTTGCCAATCCCCAGTTGCATATCACTCACATTCCTGATAAACTGATGCCTATGTACATGCATCATCATCATCTACACAACATGAAGATGGCACCAAAGAGAATTGAAAAGACAACTACGAAAGAGGAAGATAGACGACAACAACAAGAGATGTTCGAGATGATGAAAATTCACCAGCGACTGCTATACACCATTATAGCCACCATTGGGATCCCTGTGGTCTTACTAGTTTTGTTTTTTATTGAGGTAAGCATAGTGTTTATTTATTTAACTTTATTTATACACGGGTAAAACATCAGGACTTAAAGTAAATACTAAAATTACATTTAATTTAATTACATTGTTAAGATACTAATCTATCACTAATTGAACCGAATAACAACAAAATAAAAACAATAACGAAGTGGCTGCTTTCCATGAATGTCTTGTGACTAATTAACTCATTTATTATTACATTAAGTGTGATCTGTGATCTCATCTAAAACATAAAAAGGCATGTATTGCACTGATTTTCAAACATTATATGTATCAAAAACATTCATCTAGTCTTTGCAGCAAATTCTTGAAGAGTAGTTAAATGAGTGTATTGCAAGCTTTAACAGCATTTTTCCATTGTATCTGTGCTCTGTAGAGGTCAACAAGACAGTCCGCGGTTTCTTCAAGAAGATCTTCACCCCCATCATCGTCATCTTCGTCATCCCAAAGAGTCGATGAGCAAACTTCAGAGCAATCTCCTGATATTTTAAGTAAGTTTAGCATAGTTAAAAGAAAATGGCACCTATAGTTTTCTCCCTGGCAAAGGGTAAACCGCAGAAAAAATGATCTCACTTGAGAATTTGAATCGTGTCAATATTTTTTCTTTTGGTTACAATGAAATATAATTATGAAGTTCATATATTTTGAGCTGCGGTATTAGATACATATGATGCACGATCCTCGCAGTAGATGGCGCTATTTAAGCAATAGCGAAAATCAGACCTGAAAAAAATCAGGCCTGTACGGGATTCGAACCACTGACCTCTGCGATACTAGTGCAGCGCTCTACCAATTGAGCTAACAAGCCAACTGGGAGCAGGCCGTTAAGTTGATTCGTAATAAACCCGTGAAAGTGATAAATNCACAATTCGAAATCACTTTGTAAAGTACGAGTTTGAACAATAAAAGATTGTATTTGAAACGGTATTTCTAATGCATTGTTGAGTATCTGGAAAATTTGAAAAGGACACTTTGAGCATGTTACACTGTTCAGATGGCGCGCCTTTTTTTTAAGAATTTGAGCGAACAACGTTGGCTATACATAGACATGTAAAAACGAACGATATAATATCCCGACGTTTCGGCGACTTCATGACGCCATTATCAAGGGTACGAATGAAAATAAATTAACAAATGCGAGTTCAAGAACTTGAACTCGCATTTGTTAATTTTATTTTCATTCGTACCCTTGATAATGGCGTCATGAAGTCGCCGAAACGTCGGGATATTATATCGTTCGTTTTTACATGTCTATGTATAGCCAACGTTGTTCGCTCAAATTCTTAAAAAAAAGGCGCGCCATCTGAACAGTGTAACATGCTCAAAGTGTCCTTTTCAAATTTTCCAGATACTCAACAATGCATTAGAAATACCGTTTCAAATACAATCTTTTATTGTTCAAACTCGTACTTTACAAAGTGATTTCGAATTGTGGATGGGTCTATGGGGTACTAAGACTACAAAATATTTTAATTGTTTACATTGCTAATTTACGTTTAATAATGTACAAAGTTGGGTGTTCTTCAGAATAAATACATTAAATATTTTACCTTCCATGTTTTTCTGCTCGGTGGCTCCGTAGGAACTTAACAGGATGATGACTCGGACAATAATTTTTGCACTTTATATATTTCTTGAAAAATAATGTTTATATACTTCTTTTCACGTCCATCACCGAGTAACAATGCAAAAATATTCATACTCGAGTCAAAGTATTCTTTAATATCGTGACACTGTTACGTAAACAAGTTTGAGTGTCACGCAATGTCTACGAGAGATAAAGAAAAAGGGAGTCAGAGGGAGAGAAAGAGGGGGAGGAGGGGAATGACGTAACCCGTGTGAATATTAGGAAATTTCTACTAAGCTCTAAGTTACTAAAAAGTAAAAAGGAGTTAAAAACGAAGGATAGTCTATGTGAGGGGTACTTTTTGAAAGTAGTACGTTTGAAACACTGGCTCGCTCTTACACGTGGCCATAGCGTTGTATGTGTGCATGAGAAGGCGAGGAAAGCGGGAGCTGAAGTAGCGCATGTAACCATCAGGTACAGAGCCGAGCGCCTCCTTCACGTGATCAGGTAATTCACGGTAATGATGTTTCTGTCAAAATGAATAAAACGATAAAAAATTTTACGATAGCTGATAACTTTGCGTGCTAAAGGAACTACTGAGAAATACCCCATAAGGTTTCATCTCTATGAATGTTCTACAAACAGGTAACACTGAAGTCACGTAACACACAAAGGAAGTTGCAGAGAGACGATGTAAAAATGATTATAACTTTTTTTATTACTTAGCAAGTATCTCCTTCCTTAAAGAGGTCGGTCTTTTAACTTCCATTTCATTGTTTCGACGAGGAAAGGGGATAAATGGGTGTTGAGATCTTCTCCATCTCTCCAGGAGAGAAAATAACCAAAAATGAAACAGCAGATAGCATCGTTACACTTACCTTGTTCCGCATTGCGCGTAAAAGATCCCTGACATGAGAACCTTTGTAAGTCCTAAATCTACGAAGATCTGTGAAAAGATAAAATATAAGTTATAAGCATCGGCCTGAAGTAACCAATCGCCGAGTTTGAACAAGCTACTTGCAAATTTTATTCGTTTCCAGTCTCCTTCTTTGTACTCACCCTCTTGTAGTTCGCTTCCCAAGTGTACTTTCCAGTCCCCTCGGACCACAGGAATGGAATCCTTTTGTAATAACACTAATAGTTCTGCATCTTCTGACTCTTTCTCAATTCGATCACTGACATCCTGGGAAAATGCCAAGAACATTTATAACATAACCAAAGCAAAGCACGCGCTCTGATTAGTCAATTCAGTGTCCACCATTTGCCGTGGGTGTGCGCTGCTGACGTGAGCAAATGCAAGGACTAGTTTCCTCGCGCTTATTTTTCTGGTCAAGTAAGATTTTCGTGTTAAATGAAAGGGAACTCTTTTGCTACAATGTATCAATGTTATGTTATAAAACAAACGGTAAACACCACATCGTACACTATTGAGGCACTCAAGAAGTTAGAGTCGCTCTCCGCTATCACCTCGCGCGACTCTTACGCATCTTTCGTGCTTAACAACCTCTAGCGTGCAACCATAACTCAATAGTGCACGCTGTGGTGTTTACCATTTGACAAAACTGCATTCTTTGTAAAGTGGAAGGTAACATGTGACCTTTGATAGTTGAAGAAGGCGGGGTAGGAGGTTCAAATACGTGAAACGATCATACACGAAGTTTCTACGTGTAAGGGAATGAAAAGAAGTTGTTCCTACCTGAAAAAATGCAAGCTGTTTTTCTCTGCTCCAGAAGAAAGGATGCTTCAGGATTCCTTTTGCTGAAGGCCTGCGAAAGTAAGAAATTTTTTCTTACAACTTTTCCATCCTGGAAGTTCCAAGGGAATTAATTCATGACAGATGATGAATTAGAAAATATATTCATACATATATATATATAGAGAGGGATTAAACTTGGTTTCCGTGAAACAGTGCTCGATACAAATAGTAGAGCGGGTATAATGTGTGGTAGGCAGAAAAAAAACAACTACATATACATGTATATGAAGTTGTTTTTTTCTGCCTACCACACATTACATATATAAATATATCTATATAAATATTGTAGTACACGAGGACGGACAACTTCGAGCTAAGAAAGACATATACTCAAATAAAAAGTCTAAGAAAGTTTAATAAAATACGTTTCGGTCCGAGACCTTCATCAGTTGTAATACAACTGATGAAGGTCTGGGACCGAAACGTATTTTCATCAGTTGTATTACAACTGATGAAGGTCTAGGACCGAAACGTATTTTATTAAACTTTCTTAGACTTTTTATTTGAGTATATGTCTTTCTTAGCTCGAAGTTGTCCGTCCTCGTGTACTACAATATTTATATAGATATATTTATATATGTAATGTGTGGTAGGCAGAAAAAAACAACTTCATATACATGTATATGTAGTTGTTTTTTTTCTGCCTACCACACATTATACCCGCTCTACTATTTGTATCGAGCACTGTTTCACGGAAACCAAGTTTAATCCCTCTCTATATATATATATGTATGAATATATTTTCTAATTCATCATCTGTCATGAATTAATTCCCTTGGAACTTCCAGGATGGAAAAGTTGTAAGAAAAAATTTCTTACTTTCGCAGGCCTTCAGCAAAAGGAATCCTGAAGCATCCTTTCTTCTGGAGCAGAGAAAAACAGCTTGCATTTTTTCAGGTAGGAACAACTTCTTTTCATTCCCTTACACGTAGAAACTTCGTGTATGATCGTTTCACGTATTTGAACCTCCTACCCCGCCTTCTTCAACTATCAAAGGTCACATGTTACCTTCCACTTTACAAAGAATGCAGTTTTGTCAAATGGTAAACACCACAGCGTGCACTATTGAGTTATGGTTGCACGCTAGAGGTTGTTAAGCACGAAAGATGCGTAAGAGTCGCGCGAGGTGATAGCGGAGAGCGACTCTAACTTCTTGAGTGCCTCAATAGTGTACGATGTGGTGTTTACCGTTTGTTTTATAACATAACATTGATACATTGTAGCAAAAGAGTTCCCTTTCATTTAACACGAAAATCTTACTTGACCAGAAAAATAAGCGCGAGGAAACTAGTCCTTGCATTTGCTCACGTCAGCAGCGCACACCCACGGCAAATGGTGGACACTGAATTGACTAATCAGAGCGCGTGCTTTGCTTTGGTTATGTTATAAATGTTCTTGGCATTTTCCCAGGATGTCAGTGATCGAATTGAGAAAGAGTCAGAAGATGCAGAACTATTAGTGTTATTACAAAAGGATTCCATTCCTGTGGTCCGAGGGGACTGGAAAGTACACTTGGGAAGCGAACTACAAGAGGGTGAGTACAAAGAAGGAGACTGGAAACGAATAAAATTTGCAAGTAGCTTGTTCAAACTCGGCGATTGGTTACTTCAGGCCGATGCTTATAACTTATATTTTATCTTTTCACAGATCTTCGTAGATTTAGGACTTACAAAGGTTCTCATGTCAGGGATCTTTTACGCGCAATGCGGAACAAGGTAAGTGTAACGATGCTATCTGCTGTTTCATTTTTGGTTATTTTCTCTCCTGGAGAGATGGAGAAGATCTCAACACCCATTTATCCCCTTTCCTCGTCGAAACAATGAAATGGAAGTTAAAAGACCGACCTCTTTAAGGAAGGAGATACTTGCTAAGTAATAAAAAAAGTTATAATCATTTTTACATCGTCTCTCTGCAACTTCCTTTGTGTGTTACGTGACTTCAGTGTTACCTGTTTGTAGAACATTCATAGAGATGAAACCTTATGGGGTATTTCTCAGTAGTTCCTTTAGCACGCAAAGTTATCAGCTATCGTAAAATTTTTTATCGTTTTATTCATTTTGACAGAAACATCATTACCGTGAATTACCTGATCACGTGAAGGAGGCGCTCGGCTCTGTACCTGATGGTTACATGCGCTACTTCAGCTCCCGCTTTCCTCGCCTTCTCAT